TCAGCATCATTCTACTAAGGGATTCTTCAAAACCCATCCTCTCTACCTAGAAACCTGAAAGGCTGAAATCGCAGATGTTATATTTTTTGGGTATAAGTTGAGTTGTAAAGATCTCTGGAGAATTTTGAGCTCATCTGTTATTAGAATCAGGATTTGCTGACCAATGGCTCGTTCACTTACCAGTTTACATCACATAAATCCTGCCAGACTGCCGTGTATGTTTGCGGAATCGAGCACACAGTTTGTCAAGTATAAAAGAATAGCCAGCATAATTTGAGTTAAAGCGCTAATGCCGTAAAAGGAGACCGTTAATCATTCGCCTAGATTCTCTTGACTACACATTACACAAGAAGTAACCATTTTGCTATAAACTTACATTCATAAAGTAAGTTTGGGTCTTTTTACGCAAATTTATATCCTAACATATTTTACCGGATCTTAGTTGTCTACCCATTTTGATTAATAAAAAATCTCGTTCCCTTCATCCGGAAGTGAGCTTGATAAGAATCTCTCATGACTACAATCAAAGGAAAACAAGCCTTCGTTTCTAGGGCATTGCGACATTTTCCGTCTAAGCTTTTAAATCTTTTTCCCCTTCTCTCACACCGCTCCAAAATTGCCCAACTTTTCGTCGTCTTCCCGGCAGGCGCATAGTTCTGTAGAGCGGGCGTGCCAGATCGCCTTGGTCCGACTGCGCCAGATACCGACGAGCTGCGAGAAGCGGCGCAGCCTGGATGCTGAACTGTTGAGACGAGCGATCGAGGAGGATCGGGCGAGGAACCTGATTCCCCTGATAGTATGTGGAGGGCAATTTTGCCCATTTTATTGTGTGCCTCGTCTTTTCACATGGTTGAGCTCACTTCCGTTTCGGGCGAAAGTGTGTGCTGAAGTAGACATTCAAGGCTCGATCCCAACAGAAGACGACGGCGGATTCCTCTCGACCAGCTGGCTGTTGGCTTTACTGAAACGTCTCCGAGGCAAGCTCCTTCACTTGAGGTGACAGCGTGCAAGTCTTAGTCTTTCATGTGACCGATATAATAAGAGCAGGTTAATATTCTTACAACCATGTTAAGCTAATGAGTCAAAAAGAGGATTCTGCCGTCGTCCTCTCATGAAATCTACCTTCGAATACTTGCAGCACACACCACTTTCATTCAAAATCGAAGTAAGCTCAACAATTATAAACCAAGAGGTTCCTCGAAGCCCAAATTTTCTTCGAATTCCCACATTATCTTTGCATGATGTAAGATAATGGGAGTTTAGAAAGGAAAAATTAGAGGCGGGTGCAAGACCACATAGGCCTTTCCTTTACGTGTGCACAGGCAGTGAACAATGTCATATCGGAAACAGACCCCTAGTCGCGAAACCAAAGTTTTCTTGAAGATATTAAAACCAAGATTGTGTGGCTCTCGGTATGGTCGCAGTCTCCTTTCGAGTTACAGAACTGGGTTGAACTTTTCTCAACTTGGTCTTGTTGTCAGAGCGACTTAGTAGAACGCACCTTGTCCGAAGTCGTCTGCCATAGTTGTTGTCATTATTCCCAGCATCAGACCATTGGATTTGGTACATTCTCAAACGTTTTGCCGGCATCATAAGTGAGTCTTGCCATTCACCGCACCAAACTACAGACTCGTCATAGCGACAAGCGAAGTCAATCCCGAAAAGATTACACAATCACCCCTTTTTTTGTCCTGGCCCATCTATATACTCCTTACCCTCTTATCCAACTCCCGCCCTATCACAACTTTTGATTTATCACGGACACGTTTGTAGCTTGATGCGAAGAACGGCAAGACTCATTGATGATGCCGACTACGACGCCGGTAAAACATCTAAAAATATACCAAGTTCACGGTCTGATGCTGGGAGTTATGGTAGCTACTA